CAGTCTTTCTCCCATGGAGCTGCTGGTGGTTTCGAACTGCCAATCGTGCAGATCACAGCCCACCCACCAGGGCTCCTTATTAGACTAGTGGAATTTCTTTTCTCTGAGAGGGAAATCGTTGTGTTGTGTTGCAGGCTCATTAGACTGAGAAGTTGAGAACTGCAGTAGGTATGGGGGCTCACTCTTTTCTTCCCTTCTAGTACTCGTACTTAAAAAAAAATTATAGCATTTCAGATTGGGTAAGCATTGGACTGCTAGCTGCATGGTTGGCAGTTCAAAACCGTTAGCCATTCCACGGGAGAAAGTGGAGGCGTTCTGCTCCTAGAAAGACTGCCGCCTTGGAAACCCCATATAGGGTAACTGTGAGCTGGAATCGACTCGGAGGCCGTGGGTTTGGGGTATTTTGACCTGCATAGAACACACTTATAGCAAGAAAGGGTATCATAAAATGAATAATTGCACTCCTCCTAGTCCAAGAATTAGTACAAGCCAACATCCTAGAAGCCCTCCCACTGCTCTCCTCTGTATTACACACTCCTCCCTCCCTCCTGAAATAACTACTCTTTCAACCTTGTGGCAATGACTTCCAGGCCTTTCGCAATCTTATCACCCACATGTACGTATTTCCCACAAACGTTGAGTAGGCCTCTTCTAGTTTGGTAGAAAGCCTTGCTTTCCTGTAGGCTCCGGAAAGCCTGCCAGAGGAATTGATTTGGCGGCCAGCTGAGTGTCCCGTTTCTTTCATTTGGGGTGTACGCCTGGCAGTAAAGAGGTGGTGCCATGAGGGACACAATCAGATGGGTGTGGGTATCCTGAGGGATTGCACAAGAAAGGGGGTGCCCGTCTAATGGAGCAGATGGTGCAGGGAGTTAACTGCCTGGCTTGCTCCTCTCCTGCTGAGGCCATTTTTAGACTCTGCTCAATAGATTCTGCTCAGTGTCTCATTCACAGAATGTTTGCCCAGCCCGCGTTTATTCATAAGTATTGATCTAGCAAGAGAGAAGTGTTCTCGTAGAACTGCTGTCCGTATTTCAAGAGACTGCAGTTGTATCCCAGTGCATCTCTCTCTACCCTCCTCAGCATTATTGTTGTAGTAACTTACATGTATTATTTAAGGCATGCCATGCACTGTTTGAAGTGGGGCACATGCATTATCTGATTTAATCCTCATAGCAATCACATGAAATGGATGCTATTCTTATCCTCATTTACAAATGAGAAAACTGGCATTCAGACATACTATCGCTCGTTAAAAGGTCATGCTGTTGCTAAGTGATGGAGCTGGAGAGAGCAAACACCGATGCTGGAGCCCACACCAATGGTCTCTGCGCTATACTGCCCAATGTTTGACTCAGTTGAGTGGTTGAACTCAAAGAGCTAAGGCTGTTCCAGAGACATTGTTAGAAAATGTTAGTACTTGGTGGTCTTTGTCTTTTGCCAATAGAAAAGCACCATGGTGTGGTGTGTGTGTGTGTGTGTGTGTGTGTGTTTATTTGTTTTGTGAAGATGATGTAAGTCTATCTTTAAATACCATAACCCAACACAAGCTCAGCAATAACCTATAGAGGAGTCCAGTTGGAGCTGTGAAACGAGGGAAGTCTACGTATCCAGTTTCTGTCTTACTGCATAGGCTGCTCTTGGCTATAACAGTGCCTCTGAAAACGCGGTGTTCAGGAGTCAATAATATGGCAGGATGTGTGAGAAGCATGCCCCCAGTCTAGTCCTTTCTTCCGTGCTTCTGAAACAGCATAAAGTCACGGAGATTGGAAGGATAATACTCAGATGTGATATCCATGATCAATAAGTTAGATGACAGCTACTTTATCCTTAGGAGGTAATGTGTGCAGTGTGTGATCAAAACCTGATGAGCCTTTTGATGAGTGATAATGAGCTTTTAAACGTCAGCACAAGCATTTCAGCACCTCGAGTGCTAAGCCTTCCATGTGCCTAAATGCTCATGAAAGTGAACAGATTTCAATGTCAAGTTCAGAGGTAGGGAATTCTGAGTTATGCAGCTGGAAAGACAAACAAGGAAGAAGCTAGGTAACATCTAATTTGTAAGACTCAAACTTTCAGAAAAGTTGCAAGTATGGTACAAAACACTCCTCTGTACTCTTTATCCAGATTCACCTTTTAAAAAAATATTTTGCCACATCTATATCATTTAAATAAATTCCATCTGTATTTCGTTTGATATTCTGTACACACATACATGCATTTTTTGGGAACCATTTGAGAGTAGGATGCACATATCCTGTCTTTGTGCTTTAGTGAATATTTCCTTACAACAGGGATATTCTTTTATATCGCCACCGTCTGTCTGTCTGTCTGTCTGTCTGTGTGTGTGTCTCTCTCTCTGCAATTGAGTACGTTCTGAGGCTCAGTGACTCTATAGGACTGGGTGGAACTGCCCCCTATGGGGTTCTGAAACTAACTCTCTCCTGAAGTAGAAAGCCTTATCATTTTCCAATTGGTGACCTTGAAGTTAGCAGCCTAACACGGAACCAATACACCGTGAAGGCTCCTCATAGAGCCGCAGTACAGTTATCAAATGAAGGAAATGTAGCATGGAAGCGATATTTGTATCCATCTTCCCCCCCATGTTCCAATTTTATCAATCATCTTAGTAATGGTTCTTACTAGCAGTTTCCCTTTTAGCACTGGGGACAAAGTGCAGAGTAACCCATACTCAGATATTGCATTTAATTACCATGCCTCTTTAGGCTCTTTCCATTGGCAGCGGTCCATCTGCCTGTCTTTCTTTTCCATAAAATGGACATTTTTGAAGAATACAGACCACATTGTGAGAGCAGAATGGTCATGATTCTGGAGTTGTCTGATTTTCGTGGCCCTCAGCCTGCGTGCTACAAAGGCGATGTGTCTCTCTCTGCATGGCACATCCAGAGGCACACGGCGTCCTCTGCTTTGGTTGGTCATTTCTGTGGAACACTTAGGCAAGGGGCATCATTAGTTACCACTCTCCCCTGGCAACCAGTTGACTTTATTTTGAAATATTCCCAGTCTTGGCATTTTAAAGAAAAAGACTTATTGATAATTGATTGTTCGCAAGCATAGTCTTTTCAAGTCACAAAGTAATGGATTAAGTCGAAAGTGAAAATGAGCCTTAACATTGACAAATAGGTTTTTAGTAAGTCAGTTTAGACATTCTTTAAATGAAATGTTACTCGGCCATAAAGAAAAATGAAGTCCTGATATACAAAGGGTTACCCCCCCACCCACCCCCCCAAAAAAAGACAAAAAACCTGGAAGAAAGTTCTGCTGGGCAGAGCTTTCATAGTATACATTTTTCCTGCTAGGCAAGCATCCACAACTTGCTCAGAGTTAGTGCACCCAGTGGCGTTACCTGGGAAGCTTCTCTCTGGTCACAGTGAATTTTTTCATAGAAGCAGTTTCACTCTAACCTCGGTTTTTGTCTTTTTGTGTGTGATGGCTGATTTAAATGAACAGTGTATAGCTGTGAGATTTTGTTTCCTGCTCTGGAAAAATGCTGCAGAAACTGTTGTGATGTAGAACACAGATTACAAGGACAGTGCTAAGGGAAAAACTTAACTGTGCAAGTGGTTTTCTCATTTCAAAAAAGGTGCAATACTGATTGATAACAAACCTCGTTCTGAACGCCCATCAACTTCCCAAATGGACGAAAATGTTGACAAAATCCATGCACTTGTTCTCAAAGACCAACGATGGACCATTGAAGAGATGGGGAAGTTATCTGGACTCTCTTGGAGCTTGGTTCAGCAACTTTTAAGATTTGTGCCTCAGCTTCTGATGACCCTCAAAAAGAGTATCAACTGGAAACATGCCATGCTTTGAAAGAACAGCTCTAAATCGACCCAGACTTTTTCCCCAAGGTCATTACTAGTGAGGACACATGGTGCTATTCTTAAGACCCCAAAAGCAAACATAAATCAAGCCAGTGGAAGACACCATCGTTACCTTGCCACACCAAAAAAACTCATCAAGTGAAATCACAGATCAAGATGATGCTCATTTGTTTTGTGTTTTTTGTTTTGTTTTTATGTGAGGGGCATAGTGCATTTGGAGTTCATTCCACCCGGTCAGACTGTTAATCAAGCTTTCTATTTAGAGGTTCTGAAAAGATTGCGTAACAGTATGCGACTGAAAAGGGTCCAATTTGTGGGAGATGGGAGACTGATTTTGCAACCATGACAATGCACCAGCTCATTGTGCGAGTTTTTGGCAAAAAACTGCATGCCTCTCTTGCCCCATGCTCCTGACTCACCTGACCTCATTCTGTGCAATTCTTTTTGTTTCTGAGAATGAAGAGGGATGTGAAAGGATAGCAATTTGACAAGGTAGAAGAGGTGAAGAAAAAACAAGGGAGGTGCTATCAGCCATCCAAACAAATGAGTTTGAAAAATATTTCCAAGCATGGAATCGCAGATTTGCAAAATGTATTCAGTGTAATGGAGAGTACTTTGAAAAGTGATAAGGTTGTTTTGTAAAAAAAATCCGGATTTCAGGGATACCCCCTCATAAACTACAACATGGATGAATGAACCTTAAAAACTGTGTGCTAAGTGGAATAAGTCAAATGGAAAAGGACAAGCAGTGTATGATCTCACATGAATTTAGAATTGGCAAATCTAATGAGTGTCTAGAGACAGAGTTTATTAGTGGTTACCAGGGGTGAGAGGGCATGGGGAAAGGGGAAGTCATTATTTAAGAAGCACTGGCTTTCTGGTTATGGTGATGAGAAACTCGGCAACAGTTATTGGTGATGGTTGCACACATGATTAATTGATACCACAAAAGTGTACATGTGAGAAGCATTGAATTGGTAATAATTGTGTGTGTGTGTAGACATTGATAATAAAAATTGTATGTCAGCTTAGAGTACATGTTTGCTTGTTTCATAAATATTCAGGGTTGTTACTTTCAAAATTTATGGTTTTGTATTATGTTTGTTAAATGATGCCTTTCCTTTATTCCTTTTTATAATGAGTATATCTTTATAGTTTACTTCACTTTAAGGTCAGCGTTTAATACGATCTCAACGGAGAGAGAGAAGATGAAGCAGCTGATGGAGCAGGAGGTCACCTCCTCGCCCTCTGTGCAAGCTGTTGGCCTGAAGCACGCCCTGTCATCTGTAAGTTTGGGGTCTGCGTCCCGGAAGTGCCTGCGGATGTACCCAGGCTGGTGAATTCTTCTTGTCTTCGTTCCTCCAAGATTGTGTTGAACATTCATGTGAGAGAAAACCAAACAAATTATCCAAATTATAATCCAATCTTGCATCAAATCTGCATACTCCGAACACCAAAATTCAGCCTCATCCAAAGCTGGTGTTTCACGCTCTTCAATACTCTGAGTTTGGTTTCCTGCTATTCAGTAGGCTGACTGCTCTCTTTCTGTAGGCCGTGTGTGTGTGTGTGTGTGTGTGTGTGTGTGTGTGTGTGTGTGTGAACATTTTTCAACCATGACAGCGTGCAGGAGATTTGTGAGCCCCAGGCTCCCCATGCTTCAGTGATTTTGAAATGATGCAGCGCAGAGCAAAATTTCAAATTCACGCTCTTATCTTCTCAACTGCAAACTGCTGGTCCTATCTGCCTTCCTTCAAAGACATGAGAGTTATTTTTTTTTAATTTACTTATATAGTAAGTAAAATAACCCCTACCCCATGGTCATGAAAAGAGAAGTCATAAGATATGTCTCAGGCTTATCATAACAATAGAAAATTGTTATCAAGTCTCAAATATTTGTTAGCAAGCTTTTCACTCACTCACTCACTCACTCACTCACTCACTCACTCACTCACTCACTCACTCACCCTGTGTTTTAAATCAATTTTGGTTCTTTCCTCAAACTCATTGGTTTCCATGGGTGCGCCCTGCCCAGGGACTCAGCTGTGAGTTGCTGAAATTGTAGTTGTTCACTCTTGATCCGGGAAGCGGAGAAATGTTGAAATAGCACTAACCTGCCTTCTGCTTATACTTTGGCATTCCTACTTTAAAAAGAGACCGAGTGTGTGTGTGTGCACAGGTGAAAGTACCATCTGAAGGTGGTGTTCAGCATCAGGCAGGGGAGAGGAATCGTGTCGTCAGGAGTAGCCCTGGTGGCACACGGGTTTCAGTGCCCAGCCACCAACCCAGTGGCATGCGGCAGACTGCCACCAGCAGGACACGGAGCCTAGGACATGCAGAGGTTGCGAGGAGTTAGAATCAACTCAGGGGCTGTGGGCTTGAGTTTTTATGGTTTGGTTGTCGGGAGCCAATTCAGCATTGAGAGACCCAGAGATTATCCATCAATTCAGATTTTCTATTACCAAGAAAAGTGATGCTCTTGGTGTAATGCGAATGATAAAATTCTTCTTAGTAGCACATATTACTGTTATAAGATACTTAAGGGATGTTCATTTAGTTAACAAGCATGCGCTCTGAAAAACAAAAGCAATCACATTGGATTCTTCCATGTTGAGGGGGTTAATATTGTCTGCACTAAACCTGTCATCTTTAATTCGGAGTTAAAAGCAGCCTCCTCCTGGATTGAAGTGGATGGTCTGCCATACACGAGGTCACAGGTTCTGAATTGATTTGAAGGAAGTGTGGTGATGGTTTTGTGTGTTGTCTAGTTTACACCCTAATGATACAAAATATTCCTCAGTGTTCCCTTTTAGTGCATTTAGAAGGTACCTCTGATGGCCCTTCCCCCAAGTTCTCCCCTTCCTCAGACCTTTTCCCTTGCAGGTCTAGCCCCACCTTGCTAAACTGCTCATCTAAGAGAGGCCATTAGGAACCATTGGACCATGTTAACCCAGGCCAGGATTTCAGAAATTTGAAGTAAACAGTTGTGTTGTCTTCATTAATGTTCTCTGTTTTATACCTCTAGGATCTAATATCCATTCCAATGACTACACAGAACCCATAGACAAAATTTGTGGTTAAGGACTTATTACGGAAGTTAACAAGTTGTAATGCCAGTGGAAAATGCTCAGGGTTGAGTTGTTTATCAGGGCATGCCACAAAGTTCTTTCAGGTCTGCTAATTAATGCCTAAAGGAGCTTATCATTCCTTTGTAAGTCTCAACCTAAAGGCATTCAGCTTAAGCTCCGTGGGTCAGCCAACCCAGTTCCCTGAATTAAGTGCACAGAACACCCCACTCCAGTGAGCCTCAGCCCAAAGGCACGCAGCTCCACTTCCATGGGTCAGCAAGCCCAGCCAATCTCCGATTAAGTGTCCAGTGGCACCCCACTCCATAAGCCAGCCTCCTACACAAACACATCCAGCTTTACTTGTTCTTTGGGTTGGGATGTCCACTCCTCCATTCATGCTGTGGCTCATGGCTCTGCTGCTGCTCCTCTGATGGTATAGCTGTCTTCTGGATCCAGGAGGTTCGCTATGCCGGGTCTCTGGTCCGAAGGATGCACTCTATTCCTGGCTCTTGCTGGTAATGAAATCCACCCCACCCCCTCACCCCGCTACCCAGGGGGTTCATTTGATACCCAACAGGAGGACATTCCAGGGAACCCTATCAGTATCTTCCCCCACCTTTCTGACCAGGCCCACGCAGAATAAGATTGTTTGGTGAAAGTTAGAGACTTTGGCTAGAAGAGCCATAGTAAATAATTCACTGACCCCACAAGAGTGATCTTTTAGCTTCTGTCAGTCACTGCCATTGAGTCTGTTTCAACGCTTAGCAATCCCATGGGACAGCCTGTGTGGGTTTCCAAGGCTGCACATCTTTATGGGAACAGAGAGCCTCCGCGTTCTCCTGCAGCGAGGCTGCTGATTTCAAACTGCTGACACTGTAGTTGGTAACCCAACTTGTCATCCACTGCGATACCAGGGCCCCTTTCTTTTAGATTCCTGAGAGAGTTCAAGGCTTGTTTTTTTTTTTTAAATAAAACGTTTTAGAGCTGCCTCAGGGCTGTCAACATGAATGTTGTTGCATCCGGTATGGCTTCCAAAAAAAGAAGCCCCTAGAACCGCACATTTTTCCCCACTTAATTGTTTTGCAAACCATTTGATGAGGACGTAATCCATGCATCACACCATCATTCATTCAGTGACATCAGGCAGTTTTGTGTAGTCGCTACCACCATCAGTTTCAAAACATGTGGGGGGCCAGATGAGGATGGCCCTACTGGTGACATTGACCAGAAGAAAGCGAGTGCCCCCTTAGGGAGTGTTAGATGCGGCTGTGGGATTCGGGGTCTTTTAAATGTTTCTTAAAACCTCTCCACAGATTCTCAGATGACCCATACCAAACGAAGTCAGAAACCTTGTTTAAGATCCAGAGAGCCGGTTAGGCAGGGCCACATCCTTCTATGCGCTCAGCAGGTAGACCGTGGGTGGATGGACCAGACTCTGCTTCTTAGAAAGAGAGTTAGGAAGTCAGACAGCTGGCTGTGTGTGTGAGGGCCCATGGAGCTGGCTGTGTGAGGATCTGGCAGATAGCCCCCTGAATGTGCCCCCTTACTGAGAGAGCAGGCGGCTATCCAGTGCGCAGGACAATCAGAGTGGAAAGGAAGCATTTTCTTTGACCTTTTAGCTACTTCCCTCCTGGCTAGGAGGTTAGGGTGGGGAATGGGACTTGTGCAGGGACGAATTATAGAGGTCCTGGGGGTCTCGTGTGTCTGCAATTCACACCTACCACCCCCAGGCCACACTCCTCTCCCCTCTCCAGGTAAGTGAACTTTTTGGTTTATTTTCGTTAAGTTTTTGTTGTTGCTTTTTACTTAAAAAAAGAAGCCCTAGTCCTGGAGAATGAATAAAACAACCACCATATTGTAAAATAGTGAAATTCATCCTCTACAAATACCTACTTTACCAGAACATTGTCTAAAGTCTAATTCAACAGATATAATAACTAAATAAGATTAAATTACCCTCCATCACAAGTGGGTAGAAGCAGCATCTTCCTTCAAGGATCAGAGAATCTTGGGATTATTAGGAAAAGAGGGAGGGTGGAGGCAGAGGAACCACTAATCCTAACAAAAAGCTATCAGGGCCTGGTTTTCCTAAATTCCTTTTCCTCTGCCTAGAAGGGAGTGGAGGGAGGAAGTGTCAGTCCTGAGTTTACGATTTCTTATCGCCCAGACCTTTGCAGACAGTTTTTGAGGAAAAATCCTGGGAAAGGCCCCTCGGAGCTACCTCCCAGAGAGAGAGCTGCATCAGGCCCACAGACCCCTCTCCTGCGAGGCCCATGCTATGCTTTTCTTCTGAAACCTCCCTTTATTAACATGGCCCCACTATTTTTAACATGTTCCAGGCCCTAGCACAAAACACAGATCTTAAAGAGCGCTTACGCAGAATCCATGCCGAATCCCTGCTCCTCGACCACCCTGCTGTTGCCAAGTTGGGTGACAGTCTGGCCGAGGTGGGTAAGGTTCCTTGTCTGTACTGTCTCTGAGCGCCGCCCCTCCTGTGACTCCCTCTGTCTGCTTGCATGACCTCCCTGTCTCATCACCCCCACCCAACCCCCAGCCCCTTCTTTGGTGCTCGGGACAGCTGTTGCAAGGATTGGGGTCTTTGGGTTCAAAGCTTCCTGGGGGCTCCTTTTCCTTCCAGAACTTTTCTCCTCTTGTATTTGTTTCTCTGTTTTCCTCCTTTCTCGCCTCCTGTCGTTATTTGGTGTTGGAGTGGGAACTGCCCAGAGACAACATTTCCTTTTCCCGGTTCTGAAGACATCTCCATGTTCCTACCAGTCATGTCCCAATGCCCACTTCCCCTGCTCCTTCGCTAAGAAGCCAGTATGGCCGTTCACACGTTGTTCCCTAAAAAGGTCTTTACTCAAGATTTGGGAAATTTACCCAAATCATTCTGTTGACTGTGTTTCTAATGAGAAATTTGATAAAACTACAAGTGGATTGCTATAAAAATAAATAAATAGGTGCAAAAGAACAAAGAAGGTTAACATTGGTTTTAGTTCATATGTTTATATGATTCAAATATGTTTAAGTTCTCCTTAACAGATTAGATTGCATTCACAATTAGAAACAAGGATCATGTTATACAAAGGGTGTGTGTGTGTAATTTTAAAACAGGGATTCCTATTGTTTCACTGTGGACCTTCGAGGTAGTGCAAATGGGTAATGAGATCAGCTGCTAACAGGAAGGTTAGACTTTTGAACCCACCCACCGCTGGAGGAAAGGCCTGGCGACTGGCTTCTGAAAAGCCAGCCACTGACAACTCCAGTCAAGCAGGGGTTTAACTCGTAAGGAACATCTGCCTCGAGCATCGTGCTCTGACAACTCCACAGTCAAGCAGGAGTTTAACTCTTAAAGAATATCTGCCTAGAGCATCGTGCTCTTTTAAGATCAAAGCAACAGCCACAATCCCCAAAGATCAGATAACCTTCAGGGTTAGTGAGTTCATTTTCATGGAGAAAGAACAACTTAGAAAGGAGGCTGAGGATGATACAACTTGAAGAATAGCATCAGTGTCACTGAATTGTACATGTAGAAACTGCTGAATAAGTGTCTGTTCTGTTGTGTACTTTCAACAGCAATAAGAGATAGATAGATAGATAGATAGATAGATAGATAGATAGATAGATAGATAGATAGATAGATGGATGTTGTTTTCTTTAAAGAAGACTGTTGAGCATAGGGACACTCTGGCACACACGAGGGCACCATGAATCACAGGAGAATTGATGGTAACTGATGGAAGTGTTTCACCTTCATCTTTCCTCCATCTTCGGGCAATAAAGTCTTAAAGAAAGTAAAGCCCTCGCGCCATACCTTCCCTGTTTAGAGAAGGTATTGTGTCAGGCAATGGGGAGATTAGAATGTGAAGCCAGTCAGTACACAGAGGAAGAGGTTCTGCCAAGAACTGGCAAGACTCCTTTTCTCTTTATGGAGGCTGGGATGGCTCTCCCTGCTCATGGGGCCCACTTTTCCAGGAGAGCAGGTTTTAATTACTTTGACCCAGACATAAACCAAACCACCCACAGGGTGAAGCATCTAGCCCTCCTGCTCTTGATGGCCTTGGATTTAGGCATGGGTAAAGATAGTCCCCCTCCAGAATCTGCACAGTCACTGCATAACAGCCCCATCACCAAGCCCAGCTTCCACTGAGAATTGACTACTGCCAGACACCTCAGTATTTACAATGTTTTAAGTTTTTTTTTCAGGCTGTATTTACCTTTAAAAATATTCCTTTGTAAACTACAGAGAGTTAAAGAGATCGGTTGACCATTTTTTGTTTTGTTTTGTTTGAAATGAGATTATGCTCTGAGTATATGCTGTGTGGCTTTTGGTGATTTAGAAAGGACAGCCAACTCCCAACTCTTTTAAGATGCACAGTTCTAGACCTAAACTCAGACGTAATGGCCCTTGAAGGCTTAAATGAGAGGAATCACCCTTGAAGGGATAAGAATAACGTCCCTCCAACTTGCACCTCCAAACGCTGCCTCTCGAACCTCAGCTCAGGGCTGGATGCCTCATTTACCGACCTCCTCTTTCAGTGCCTGTGTGCTTTCCGCGGTCGATCCTGCTTTTCACTGAGCGATTCGGGCTGGCTTCCCATTGTTGCTTCCAGGAGCGACATCAGCGAGTAAGGGTACACAGATTGCCCCAGAGCCTGGAACCTTCTCTCCGGTTTAGTTTGTCAGCTAACACCCGGGCTCCTTGCGCGCTGCTGGGAAGAACGGCTGAGGACAGGGGTCATCATGCAGTGTCTAGGACTGGCTCTCTGTCTTCACCTCTGCCAATTACTCATCTTCTGCGTTGGACCTGTGCACTTGGATTTTTTTAATGATCCTTTTATTGGGGGCTCTTACAGCCCTTCTCACAATCCACACATGCATCGTGTGCACTTGAATTCTAAAATCCTCTCTGGTCTGTCAAAGATCACCCCCACCTCCCAGGACTTCGCAAGCTCTTCTACTTCACATTCTTCAGTGTGTTATCAAGTTGCCAGTGATTAGATTAGTTTGTAATATTTTAAATTCCAGCCAAAGGGCCGAACGACTTTTGGTGTCAAAGGCTGCCGATACTACAGCTGGTTTAAGAAACTGAATAGGTAAGACCACCCAAAGAAAATGCAGACGGAGGGAACTGGCCTCCACTGCTCTCCGGCCTCCTATATTCCAGGGGTGTTCGAATACCTGTCTTCGGATATCCTGATCACGCTCCTGGGAAGTGGTGGCGGTAGCTCTGTTTTGTTCTAGTCTGGAGCTTTTTCAGTATTATAAAGGTTAACGATCATATTGTTGTTGGGTTTTGTTTTTTGATAGACTTTTCATTGTGGATGGGGTGAAGGGTTACAGAGCAGATCCTCTGATTGCCTGTTTCACCCCGTCACTGCATTCCCCCCAGTGTCTCAGCACGGATCCCACCTCCTCCCTGTTTCTGGTGTCCATTCCTCCACCTTTCCCCAAGCTTTCTGAAGGTTGTTTTTGCCCCAATGCTGCCCTTTTGATCTCAGACGGTTGGTTAGTCTAAGGTGTGGAGTAGTTTCACTTCAAGAGGCAAGGAACGGAAGCCCGGGGAAGTTAAGTCACTCTCCCCAGGACACAGCACCAGTAGGAGACCCAGCTGGGATTTAAAGCTGCATCGAATGAGCCCAAAGACCTTGTCCTCTCAACCGCCTCACACTGCTGTGTAGTCAGGCCAGGTGTGCCGGTCCAGGAAGTAAAGCCACAGTAGTTAAACCCAAGTGGCAATGGTGTGAGACGGGAACAGAATAGCCAGCTCGGAAACAAACCTTCTATGTGGAGAGGAAACAAGTAGATAGTAGAAGAGGCAGCAGAAACAAATAGGGGCCATGGGGAAGGGTCGTTCAATATATAAGGTAGGTCTGCGAAGCTGCTGTCAAAGGAGGGCAGTCCGTGAAACCCAGGAAGGTGGTGCTGGTGTGGCCATAAGCCGGTGTCATGAAGAACATTGATGGTGGCGCCCCGGGTTGCCCATACGGCCATGTCCTAGTGGCTGGGATCCACTGGTGTCCCTGCAAAGGGGCAGCTACCACGCACAAGGAGACCCAGTCTTTCGTGAGGGTTTAGAACCATAATCACCTCATGCCCACAAGGTACCCCATGGACATCCCCTTGGACAAAACTGCCATCAACAAGGTTACATTTGAGGACAGGTACCAACATAGGTGCTTCTTCCAGAAGCTGCAGTTTTAGTTCTTATTTGGTTCAATCATTTAAAGTACCAAAGTAATAGTAATAATAATGAAGATAAATTCCTTTGTCCGACTGCTGCCTGTATTAGAGTGGGAAAAAGAACAATGATGGAATCAAACATTGGATGGTCGGTGAGGGACTGAGAAACTAAAAATTGAAACTATTTGTGAAAACAAATTGTGTGTGTGTGTGTGTGTGTGTGTGTGTGTGTAAGCAGCAAATCACAAGACAGCAACATGAAATGAAATTTAAAAAGACATCGTTCTTTAAAAAGAGAGACATGCTGATGAGGGCAATGAATGTACAAATGTGCTTTACACAATTAATGTATGTATGGAGTGTGATAAGAGTTGTATGAGCCCCTAATGAAACAATTAAAAAGAGAGAGAGCGAGACATGCAGCTAGTTTCTTAACTTTTTAAATTTTGGTGTGACTATTGATTCACAAGAAGGTACTAAGATAAGAGTTGTATGAGCCTCTAATAAAATGATTTAAAAAATAAATTAATTAATTTAAAAAAAGAAAGAAAAGAAAAAAACAACCAAAAAAAAAAAAAAAAGAAGGTACTTAGAAGACAAGGCGGTTCCAGGCACCCCTCACCCATCATCCCCCATGGTTGACATCTTTGGAAAAAATACAGCTAGATTTTTAAAAAGAAAGGGAAAAAATCTGATCCTTACAAAAATTCAAATTAAAACAGATTAGCACATTTTTTTCCCTTTATAGTATTGAGTGCCATATGGGATGTAGAGAAAGCAAGGGTTTCCTTAGTTGGCACTTTAATTAGGCCATACCCCCACACACACAGCTTTAGAAATGTCAGTAATTCCATTTGTAAGGCGCAATGCTAGGGGGAAAATGAGACACAGGCAAAGACATGTTTACAGAGACGCCCATCCTCATTGCAGGTGTTGAAACACCTTCCCTTCTAACAAAGGGGAATGGTCACACTAGCGTGTGTACTCAAAACTCTGGCTCTGCATGTACAGGGAAGCCGGGGCTGGTGGAGAAGCCTGTCCCTTTGTGGCAGTGCACGAACTTCATGTTGAAGTAGGCCACCAGCACCTGCACGTGGTTACCGTTCCGCTTTACTCGCAGGCACAATGGGGAGGCGAAGGCCATGCCTTCCACCTTGCTGGTGCACAGGTCCACCTCCTTGATGATGCACCTGCTGCTTGGGGTCCACCGGGGACTCCTTGCTGGCCACATCCTTGATGCAGGATATGTGGAAGTTGTACATGTTCTCCCACCAGTAGATACTGTCCTTGTTCTGATGGCCCTTGATGACTGTCGTGTGGCTCGGTCAGGGAAGATGAGGCCGTCAAGTGCCAGCCTTGTCACAGGCCTGAAGCACAGTGTTGAGCAGGCACCTCGTAGAAGAGGCAGGAACCCATCCACTTGCGATGATGGTGCTCACCTCCTCTGCTAGCGCCCCCTTTTCCTTAATTATGGTCCCTCCATGGTCTAACTTGTTGGCTTTGACGGTCCTCGTGGCGTAATAATCCCAGTTACTGGAACATTCTATCCCAGTGACCTTGTCAGCGCCACCCTTGATGATGATCCTGCAGAGGATGCCCATGCCAGAGCCCACATCCAGCACCTCCTTGTCCTTGAAGCAGGGCTTGTGGGACAGGGAGCATTGGTACATGGAGGTGCACCCCTGTCCTTCACTCTCGCCAAGGGGATGCTAACATGCACAGGGAAGTCGAAGTACTCATCTGCATGTCCTGCCCTGGGCATTGGGTCTCTCGTTGCTCTCAGCCTGGCCACAGGAAACCTCCACGATGCAGTTTGAGACCTCCGCTCCTGTCACCTTCACCCATAGCTTCTCCTCTGGCCATCGAGAGACCCCCCTCTCCTCATTTTTTTGTCTTGAATATATTCGTTTTATCCTCAGGACACATAGTTGTTGGGGGAGGGAAATGATTATGTCACAATGTTTCTGTAAGCTTGTAAATTTAGAAATACTTAGGGGACTTCAAAAAAGTTTAGGAAAAAGTCCTGTTTTCTTCATTTTCCCCACATACTTCCTACAGCCCTCCTGTTGTGTATTTATAAAATGCTTGACAAATGTGTCAAAATGCTTAGATGGTTGTATGGTAGGATGGTGCGACTTTCCTGCTTACGTTGCTTTGTTTATTTAACGTTTTATAATGTGAAAATAGAGAGAGAGAGACTTCTGCTCAGTCCTTCCACACTTGAAGGGGAAATACTGACTTGACCGAGCAGGTGAGGGTATTCATAAATGAAGGTCTGGGTTGTGCAAGACACTGTGTTGGGTCATGGTGTTCATTGTGCTGATTCGGCTTTGCAGAAATACTTTTTTTGAAGGATCAGTCCAAGGCTGGTTCTAATGGGGTGGAAATTAAGTGTCCCATTTTTCCAAAATGCTAAAGTAAGCCATTATCCCTGATGTCAACCACCACACCTCCCCTAAGCTTTCTCCCTCAGTGGCAGGGGTCTACAATTCAGGATGGCTAGCCCCAAATGTATAGTTCAGACATCCATCTGGAAGATTCTTTTAGTTCATACCAAGCTGATCTGTTGACTCACAAGGCCTCCAACGCTGGGAGATGAGTTAGCCTAAAGCCACCAGCTGAAGTCTTAAGAACCAAGGCAAGCCCGACACGGGGTCCTGCATGCGAGGTTAAACTTTGCCAGAGTTGCTCGGCGCAGCTGCAGAGTCAAGAGCATCCAACAGTGAAAGGTCTCACTTGCTCGACAGGCAAAGGAGCACAGCAGAATCACCTCCCAAAGATGGCCACCTTGTTCCCGGGGCCAGCAGTCTTTCAGGACAGCCATTGGCACCTGATTGATGTTCATTACTGGTGACCCAGCAGCAGTATTCTGCACATGATCAGTCACAAAGATGACTTAGTGCCCACATCCACGGCTTTGCTTCTGACATCAGAAGGTTAGGGAGAGGCCACGCTGATCACTTCGGCACCTGTTAGGTCGGCCAGGTCTAGGCTTAGTTCTGTGCGCTCAGCCTCCTGCTTTTCTCAATTAAGTCAGAAGTTGACACTGTACCTCTTAAGGGACCATCTTAAGACAGCAAGTTAGTTCTTGTTTTAATATGGATGTCAAAGGTGACAGAATCTGCTGAAATTAAGTGTGGCGACTTGCATCACTCCCTTTCCTGCAGAGGGGACTCCAGATGTCATCCTGCCTCAGGAGCATAACAGCTCACTCCATAGGCTATCGGGGCTGGAGCCAGCGGGATGGAGGCCAGGAGTTACTGTGATACATCCCAACCTGGAAGACTGGCGAGAAGAGCCCTATTGTAATTAGCCACACCGCAGGTTTCCAGTAGGTCCTCGTAGGCAGTTGCTAGGGTAATGATAGCAGAAAGGGCTAGGGGCTTGCCTTATTTTCAACTTTAGCCAGCCAAGACACTCTCCTGACCCATCAGTCTAAGATAAGAGAGATACAGAGAGGGCAGGAGTGGCTGGTTATAAATGAGTGAGTAAAACCAATAAAGCAATCATTACCTTTTTATGTGGCACATCAAAGACACGGGCAATCCCATTGTGGAAATGAGCATTGCAGGCGCGCCCGTTAGTCACTGCAGTGGCCTCAGATCAATAGCCTTGGAGGAGAGAGACTTTCCCTGCAAGGTGACAGCTTGAATACTTATTTATGGATCCTCTGAGGGATCGTTGTTCGTCTAGGCAGCAATCCTACTTTGTTGAGACTGTGGGTGTTAAAGTGGGTTGTGTCATAAATCTTATTTAGAATGGAACAAAGAGAAAAGAATGCACAGCCCCAAGTGTTTCCAGTGTAAGCATTTCATAAACAGACCACTTTCCATTATTAATTATGAACCTCCCGCCCCCATGACCTCCCCTACTTAGGCATACGTTTTATGAGACTTGGGGGTAGCTCCTGAACTCAAAGAACTTCGGGGAAGGACAAAACCTCCATTAGAATTCCTTTCCCAAATGACCATGAGATTCAGTTACCAGATACACAATAACCGGGGAAGTGGCTCCTTTATCGGCCCCACAAAAGATGTGCCATTGCTGGCGATCTTGAGGCACAGCCTTCTCCTCTTTGAAGGAATTGAATCATCTTGCTTTGAATCTGTTCTTAATCCTCAAAGCCTAAGTCAAATGCCATCTCTGAAAGCCCTCCCCGAAGTAGAGTCCGTAAGCTATGAGCTTCCTATGCGATTCTGCAGCACTGGATCTAGCCCACACTGTAGTATGACGTGTTGGGTGTGGTCTCTGCACCCACTCATTCAAGTCAGAAACCTCATCCTATTCATGAGTATGTCTCTCCATGGCCAGAATAGGATATGGATGGATAAGGCATTTTCAACTTGAGCTGAATTGCATTTTCATTTGGAAATACAATAGCAAGCACACTCCTAAAGCATTTAGGTCCTTCCCCAAGGGAAAAGTTAGACCCACAGGAGTATAGCGACCTGTTCAGTGGGGTGGGGAATGAGGGCCAGGTAGGATTAGAAAGTAGTGGCATTGTGTTGTCTGGTTAGCCTTATAAAGGGAGTTGGGAATATTCTTCCCTTGCAGAGCCATTGTAGAGACAGACAGCAAGAATTTATCTTCCCATCGATAAATAATGAATCATCCCCCACCGAGGGCGCTTCTGGACCAAACATGCACCGTTGATACGCAAAGGCAGCCTGGGGACTTCTGTGGAAGCACAGGATCAGAAGGAAGCTATGTTATCTGAACCAGCCAAGCAAGGCCATGCGTGCAGTATGATTCAGAGAGAATTTTAGAATGAAAAGTGACAGCCTGCGGTGGTGGGGAATAAGAGGATATGATTCAGAGAGTGTTTGAATTTTTCTCCCCTATTTAAATAAACAAATACCGATTAGTGGGGCGGGGAGAGTCACTTTCTGCTTTGAGATGTGTTTCGTGTGTGTGTGAACTGTGGTTGGGCCTGGAAGTGAGGTGCCCATTTCTTGGAAGAGCTAATCATTTCATTGTGTTAGTGTGGGGCTGACTTCTCGGAGCGGATCCCTGCCCTGCTGGGACTTGCTTGTTTGCATGGGCCTGTGACCTTGTGTAACATGCCGCCAAATCGTGTGTTTATTTTGTTTCTCTTGAGCTTGTTGCTAAATAGGTGAGTTTATTTAACTTGTTTTCTTCCCAAATAGGAAAACTCGAGAGATGAAAACCGAGCTCTGGTTCATCAGCTTTCCAATGAGAGTAGGCGCTCCATCACTGACTCCATGTCGGAGTTTTTCGATGCACAGGAAGTTCTGTTGTCACCAAGCTCTTCTGAAAATGAGGTTTGAGCATTGATTGCAGTTGGGCGCCTTGCCATGTCTTTTGTCGCTTTGTTGCTTCCCTGGTTTAGTAAATAGTTGCTTCCCTGGGCTAGTAAATGCCCCTAGTTAGAAATGCTAACCTCAGTGCCCCTTCTCCACCATTTGCATACTGGGGATCTTTCTCAGACCTTGCACCTCAAGAATACAAGATGATTCAAAAATCTTTAAAAAGAAGGAAAAGAGTTTGTGCATGTAAAGAATGTTTGAGGCCTCCCCTCTTTTCTGTGCCTTGAATCACTATACTTCTTTTCATTGATAAGTTTGTCCTTTTGACTTTTAGCTATATGAGACTATATTTCCACTACAGGAAAAGAAATTAACATCTTCTTTTCTGTTGTTGTTCTATTTTTATAGGACACCCTATTAGGTTAAATTACATAGAAGTAGTTAGGTATATAATAATGTTTTAATTGATGCACAAGAATTGTATTTACCTCTAAAAAAAAGAAAAAAACAGCTCCTGTCAAGTTGACGCCAATTCGTAGGAAAGGGTAGAATTGCCTCAGTGGGTCTCAGAGACTGTAACTCTTTATGGGAGAAGAAAGTACAAGTGGCTGGTGGTTTTGAACTGCTAACCTGGAGGTTAAAAAGTCCAAAGTGTAACCCCTGCACCACCAAGGCTTCTCTATTGGCAGGTGTATCAGTTAGCATTCTTGCATGAAAGGATGGGCTCTTACTGTTGCCCCTTAAAATGGATAGTTAAGTGCTCAAACGCTGACTGAAAGGTTGACAGTTCAAACCTACCATGCCATCCCATGGGAGAAAGACCTGGTGGCTGCTTCTGTAAACGTGGTCGCCAAGAAAACCCTGTCGGATGGTGGTCCTCTGTCACATGCGGCCACTAGTCGCCAGAAGCAACTCCATGGCATTTAGCCACAACAAGTTTGTTTCTATTTTAATTTCCAGACAAATTCATTTCTCCTCTCACAAATAGTGCAAAGACCAATTATAGACAAATTTCAGCAAATTTTGAAAATGTCTGACGTAATAAAAAAATTTTATAGCAAGTTTTGTTTTCCTTGTGACAAGCAATCGAGAAGGTACTATTTCAAATGACAGGCACTTGCTGTGAATTCCACCACGCAGAGAGGTGGGGAGCCCTCCATGAAAACAACACTCGAGACTATGCTTCTAGATCTGTGACGTGGGATTCAAGTGATATTTGGTCCGTTTGAGAAACTGTTTTATGAACATCAGGCTCTTGATTCCTCTAACATTGATGAAAACTATTTCTTCTTTCCCTAGATTTCTGACGATGACTCATATGTCAGTGACATAAGCGATAACCTGTCCTTAGACAACCTCAGTAACGATCTAGACAATGAGAGACAGACCTTGGGTAAGATTTAAATTAGTTCATCTATGGAACTGTGGCTCTTTCTAGAAACAAATCAGCCTGTATTGAATGTCTGCTGCTAGCCAGCTCTGTACCGAGCACTGTCTCGGAGAATTTAGCCCCCACCCTTGAGGGCCCTGTCATCTAGCTGCGGACACAGCACTCGCAGGTGGAAGGTGTGTTCATTTATGCATCTGTCTACTTGTGCAAAATGTCCTTACATAAAGTGAGAGGATTCCACTTCCGTAAGTCCTTGGGCAGTCAGACATTCTCTTAGCAAGCATACTAGAATAGAACTCTTACCTGAGGGATCTAGGGTGGGGGGGAGTTTATAATTTAAGAATTTTATCAGGCTATAGTGGCACCCAAGATTCAGATTCTTCATGGTAGCATATTTGAAACCAACAAGACTAAAATGTGTGCCTTTTACCAGTTGATTCCAAGAGAGAGTTGACAACCAGGAACGCGATCAGCTCATCATGCCTTTTGTGGTTTAAAAGTGGACTTGTGGAAGTCCTTGAGCGGCACAAATAGTTAAGCACTCCACCTGTAGGGGAAAGCTGGATGATTTAAACCCACCAAGACCCCTTAGAAGACCAGGTTGGTGGTCTACTTCCAAAAGACAGCACCCTCGAAAGCCCTGTGGAGCAGACCTAGTGTGCATCCGTGGGCCGGAGGGATCGGGACTTTCTCAATGGCAGCTAACAACAGCTCCAACTATGGGGTCTGCAGACTTTCTGGTTATTCCCAACCAACTCTGAGGCACGCCTATTTAAGAAGTCCTTCAGAAGGATCTACACATTTGAGTAATTCTCTGGCACAAATCCTCTAGAATCAAATCCTCCTAGACTTGGTTCTCACTGTATCTTGGAGTCCCTAGGTTTGTCCCTGCAATGAATACCCCAAACGCCAATTTTTTTATCGAGAAGAGAAGGCCTTTGTTGGATACTTTTTCAATGCCGCATGAAATAGTGACAAGTCGGTACTGAATGCCAACCAACCTTCTCTTTAGGATCCACCATAAGGCGATAAAAGGCAGGTCATTGTAGCTATCTTCTAGGAGAGCATCCCTTCAGTACCGCAGCAGATAGTTTAAGCAGGGCTCCTCAAACTTTTTAAATGGGGCCAGTTCACTGTCCCTCAGACCCGTTGGAGGGCCGGACTATAGTTTAAAAAAAAAAAAACTGAAGAAATTTCTATGCACACTGCACATATCTTATTTTGAAGTAAAAAAACATATGGGCAAAAACACTCTGTGGGCCACATAAATGTCCTTGGCGGGCCGCATGTGGCCTGCGGGCCGTAGTTTGAGGACTCCTGGTTTAGACATCTGTAGTTTACTTAAATTCTTTCTGCAGAGATGAATCCCCCTGTGGAAAAGTCTAAGAGCCAATGGGCTGAAAGAAAAGGCTAATAATACAGTCGCGTAGCAAATCTATATGCTACTTTTTTAACTAGAAAGCAAGGAGGCAAATTAAGAAACGAAGAAGCTTCACCTACTGCCTTGGCAAAGAGGCGCACATGCTAAAATGACACTCCCCGTATGGTTGGGGCAGACTGGAAAAAGTCCTCCTTCCCTTTGAGACCTTTGGGAAGAGCCTAAAGGGAGCACAGGAATACACGGGAACTTCAGATGTCAAAGTTGGGCCATCATTGCCCTAGCTGTAACCAACACTGAGCAAATGCCAGTATTTGAATACTTCTTCACCAGTGTGTGAATACTTGAAATGGGTGTCCAGTTGACATGTTGCGAGGAGAATCATATTTCTAAAGATCAGTACTGTACTTAAAAGATTGGATATAGAAATAACCTTTGTGTTTTGACTATTACAATTTTTCCTACAAAAGGAAATACAATTGGACCAAGCCCTTGATAAATGATTATACTACAATGTCTTTGAGCACGTAGTAAGCACTATGTATTTAGGATGCTTCATGTTCATTTATTATTTTTTTAATCATGGGGCACATTACTGAAAGCCATTAAAGACCTAAATAAATGAAAAGATACTCTTGTCCGTGAATTGGACTGGACTAACTATTGTTTGAAGTGTCTGTACTAGCCAAAGTTACCTACAGATTCAATACCGTTTTTATCAAAATTTCAAGGACCTATTTGTAGAAATGGGAAAAATGAACCTCAAATTCACATGGAATCCAAAGGAACCCTGAATATTCCAAACTATATTAAAAAGGAACAAAGTTGGAAGTTTCAACACTGCCTTATTTCAAAATTTACTACGGAGCCACCATAATCAAGACAGGGTGGGTCTGGCATAAAGATAAATAAGGGAACAGAATCGAGAGTCCAGGATTAGCCCACAATCTACAGCCGCTTCATTTCCAACCAGCGTGTCAAGGCCATCCAACAAGAACAGAATAGCCCCTTCAACATATTGTGCTGCAACACTGGATCTCCACATGTAAAACAATCAGGTTGGACCCCTACGTGGTATTAAAAAATTAACTGAAATGATCAATGGCCTAAATACCAAAGCATCGTTGGATCTTCGTGACCTTGTCAGTATTATTTAGCCGGAAAAAGAAATGAAGTTTTGATGCATGCTGGGACATGGATGAAACTTGAAAAGATTATGCTGAATAAGTCAGGTACATCAGGATACATATTGTATGATTCCACTTTTATGAAATTTCTAGAATAGATGAGTGTATTGAGACAAAAGTTGGTTAGTGTGATCAGAGACTGGGAGACTGAAAGATTATAGATGGAATATTAAGCTTTCGAGGTGGTGAAAACTCTTAAAGTAATTATTTTATTTTTTAAGATCATTGGGGGCTCAACTTTTATAACAATCCATACATCAATTGTATTAAGCATATCCACAATCTATATGTTGCCATCATCATTTTCTAGACATTTACTTTCTATTTGAGCCTTTGGTATCAACTCCTCTTTTTTTCCTCCTTTACCCCCCACCCTTCCACCCTTGTGAACCCTTGTGATAAATTATAAGTTATTATTATTTTCATATCTTATACCAACTGCTGTCTCCCTTCACCCACGTTTCTGTTGTTCATCCCCCTGGGGGGAGGGGTGATTATGCATTGATCACTGTGATCCGTTCCCCCTTTCTGCCCCTTCTCCCCTCCCCTTCTCCCCACCTTCCTGGCATCGCTACTCCCATTGCTGTTCCTGAGGGCTTTATCTGACCTGGATTCCTGTTGTGAGCTCTTATCTGCACTAGTGTACATGCTCTGGTTTAGCCGAAACTGAAAGATAGGACTAGGGTCATGATAGCGGGGGAGTGAGGACGTCTCAAGGAACCAGAAGAATATAATGTGTTTCATCAGTGCTTTACTGCATGCACCCTGGTTGACTCATCCCTTCCTTGTGATCCACCTGTGAGGGGATGTCCTTTTGTCGACAGATGGGTTTGGGGTCCCTACTCCAACCCCCCTCTTGAAGTAATTAATGTCACTAAATTCTATACTTAAAATGGTGAAAAGGATAAACATTTGTTACGTACATTTAGTCACAAATTTTTTTTAAATGTATATGGTCTTTATATATTAATCCAAAGGATTTTCTCAGCAAAGTTTTTTTGGAAGCAGACTGCCAGTCAAACACCCATGGAAGCAGCAGTCAAGGAATCAAAGGGCATGTTACGTTGAGCATATTTGCTGCAAAAGACCTCCTTGCAGTGCTAAAGGACAGAGATATTGCTTTATGACTGAGCCCAGCCATGGTCTTTTCAATCGCCCCACAGTCATGGATAAGCTAGACAATAAACAAGGAAGACTGAAGCAGTAGGGAGGCGTTTGGATGATGATGTGGGTGAAGAATATTGAACGTACTGTGAACGACCAGAATGATGAACAAATCGGCCTTGGAAGGAAGGAGTCCAGCCAGGGTCCTCCATGGATCGAGGGTGGTGAGACTTTGTCTCACGTACTTTGTACATGTGATCCGGAGGCCTGGCCCCTGGATAGATCAGTTCTGCTCAGTCCAGCGGAGTTGGTGCAAAAGAAGCAGCCCTTCGGCGAGATTGACGTGGCGGTATGACAAGGGGTGCAAACACACCAGTGATGATGAAGATGGCTCAAGGCCAGGCAGTTTCCTTCCCTGGTCTGCAAGCACCTATGAGCCAGTATCAACTCCATGGCAACTAGTGACAACAACATAGAGGAACAGGAAACAGGCGGTTCAAGGGGGGGGAAAAGAGGTAGTCATGAAAGCATCCTGAAACCACACGAAGATTTCTAAAACTAAGTTAAAATAAGGAGCGAACACTGCCCACCTAGATAATAGCAACAATTGATGATAAGCTTGGGAAGCTGACTTGCGTCTGTTGCAGGTAAATGTTACACCGAGGCTGCCTTTTTGAGGACCAGCCTGATGGCATGGCCCCAAAGTCTAGCAAGGTTCATAGTCTCTGCGTGGGGATCCATGTCTTGTACTCTGATAAAACCATCAGCGCCGCCGCCAAAGGTCTAAGAGTGCGAATCATGACAGCCTCGTTCCCCTCGTAGCAGAATACCGAAACGTATGAAAAGTCAGCCGTGGATAATGGTTCACGGAAGTACGGCATGCTTGTGCAATGGGGTGTTTGCATTTTCCTGCAGAATGGTGGGTGGGAAGAATTTTAAATAATACTTAAATTGACTGGATAGACAGACTATAAGACGTATGCAGTGTGAGCTATATGGATAGAGAACAGGCTAAATGAAAATACCCTGAAAAATAAATGGCTGCTAAAGAGTCAAAACTTTTTTTGTTTTTTAAAAGCAGTTGTCTGTACACAATGGATGGATGGATGGGTTGTGATAAGAGCTGTACGAACCCCCAATAAATGATGTTTTTTAAAAAAGCAGTTGTGTGTGAAGGGTAAACTATTTGACTCCCAGTTTAAACCAGTGAATACAAAGTTGATAACCAGAAATATAACCTCGCCCCACCTAATGTACAATGAAAACTGAAAGGCATAGAAAAGCAGTTATCTGCTCTGTGCACCGACATCCGGTTTCCAGTGTGCAGAAAGTACGAGGAACGAGCTTTTGAGGGGGGACCAGCATGCCTCCTGCCACTAAGTTCCGAGAGATTTGGTGTCAGTGGCTTTCAGCACACGTAGCTGCTCAGACGTCTCTTGCTTGTTTCGGTCCTCGTCTGGACACGGAGTTCAGTTGTAAAAGTGAGTGCCAGTGGGGCGTTACGTTTTGATGGACCTATTTTTAAAAATAATAAACTAGGAACTTCATGGAGCTTTAAATCTTTCCATTTCAGGCCTTGATCTTGAAAGTGGCCAAGAAGGGAGAGCCAAAAGGAGGACGTGCCTGCCGGCCCTGTGCCCCAACACCAGTTCCATCAGCCTGTGGAACATCCTGAGGAACAACATCGGGAAGGACCTGTCCAAGGTGGCGATGCCGGTGGAGTTGAACGAGCCCCTGAACACGCTGCAGAGGCTCTGCGAGGAGCTGGAGTACAGTGAGCTTCTGGACAAGGCTGCCCAGATCCCAAACCCCCTGGAGAGGATGGTAAGAAGCCCTTGCCAAGGGCACTTCCCTGAGCCTGTCGGAGCACCCGAGGTGCCAAGATGGGCATCGGGAGAGGCGAGCTCCTCCCACTTTGCACTCCCATTGCTTCGTTTCTCGGCCCTGTCCGGGCCCTCTGCCTGACCTTTTCCGGTCACCTTGTCAGGATTTGCTGTCTGGGGGTTTCTCTGTGACAAATGGTGGCTGAGATAGTTCTGTTCTGTGGGTTGGTACGACCTCGGTCTCCCACAGCCTGCCAGGGGGTTGCCTGAAAGGCCTGGCTGGAAAACATGTCTTTAGGGCTGTCCGCGTGTTTATTTTTACTGCCCGGGGTGGACAGAATTTAATTTCTTGAACTGATTTTCTCTTTCGGGGTAAATTTCCCTTAAGAATGGTTTCTGTTTATTTTCGTAAGTGTCCCAGCAGAGCTTAGATTTGGAGGAAGTAATCACAGGGGAAGTTTCTGCATCAAAAAAAGATGTTTCTTCTTCTCCTTCTCCTGCCCAGCCTTTTATTTCTAGAGAGTAAGTTTAAGAAGAAACATTAAAAAGCAGATCCATCTTGAGTTCTCTAGTCAGGATCACTTCTAATTGCTTTTAGACGGGACTTCCACGTAGTTCTAGGATGACGGCCGTGGCGTGGTGAGCCCCCAGTCTACTCATCCAAAGTGGGTCATTTGAATCCTCCCAGAAGCCCCGTGGGAGAAGGTCTGGCAATCTGCGTCTGAAAATTCAGACGTTGGAACCCCTGACACATCTGGGGCCAGAATTGACTTGAAGGCAACAGGTTTGGTTTTTATTGGGTGTTTTTGTTTGCTTGTTTGTTCTCTATGTATTTCCCATCTTTCCCCTGCTGTGGTGGTAAGATGATATTCAAATCAGCCCCTTCTGTGACTGAGATAGTTAAGGTTTATTGTGCCAATCTGGCCAGTAAACACATGTTGGATTAACTGAAGGGTGGAGAGATGAATGGCTTGGTGAGCCTCGCTTTTCTAGTTCTCAGGTCTATTGATCTCTGATGGTCAGACCAGGGTGCAGCTGCCTTAGCCAGTTCCCTGCTTCAGCTGGCAAGGCTCACTTCCTGCGAGACATCCCAGAAGAGAAGCCACATGGACCTACTCTGATGCAGCAGACCCATGCCAGCACTGAGATGCTTATACACTCACTGATTCGGCTTTCCTCCTGCAGCCAGCATCATTGCGTGTGTTTTGTGAGATGGAGGAGGGCTTTGTAAATTGGTGTCAGACATAAGGGCTAATGTTGGACTTATGGGCTTGGACTGAACTGGGTTAAGATGCTTTCTTAATGTACACACCTGCCCTTTATATAAAACTCTCTCGTGTATATATGCGATTCAGTGGCTTTGTTTCCCTAGTTTACCCAGACTAGCACAGTGACTGACTGGTTCTTGAAAACAGAGTGTCTGTTCCTTTTTTTTTTTTTTTTGGGGGGGGGGTGCTTTAACAAATGGAAATGGACTCTCTCGAAGATTAGAAGGCCAGATGTCTAAATTCAGAGCACCATCTCTGCGGAAAGGCTTTCTTTCTCTATCAGCTCTGCAGAAAGGCCTTTGATTCTTTCAACAGCCACCAGTCCTTGTAGAATTCCATGGACCTTTGTATCAATCTTATCCCAGATCTAGGAGCTTCACAGCGTGGGAACTCCTGGTCCAAAGGACATGGTCCATACTGGTTTTCCTTTCTTTTCTTTTAATTAAAAGATCATTTTATTGGAGGCTCTTACAGCTCTTATAACAATCAGTTGTATCACACATATTTGTAGTCCTGGTGGCCCTGTGCTTCAGGCATTGGGTTTTCAGAACCACGCGGTCAGCGGTTCAAACTCACCAGCCACTCTTCAGGAGAAAGATAAGACTGTCTGCCCCATGAAGATTTATAGTCTCCGAAGCCCTGTGCAGGGTCACGCTGAGTCAGAATCAGCTAGATGGGTCCCTCTTTTGCTTCTTCAACCCCATCAAGATGAGGACTTTGTCTATGCTGGGGCCTCTATGCCTCTTTTCCCCCCTGTCCCCCCCAGGGCAGACCCCATCCCGGGCATTTGCTGAATAGATAAATTAGAATGAGTGTCGGGCGGCTCTGCTACCCTGACAGGGCTCCCTTGTAAGCTTGTAGCATGCTGACCACCTCCCATTAATAGAGGGTGCCATTATTTTCTAAAAGTGAAGCAGTCTGAAACTTTAACCCTCATTAAAACGCTACAGGAAACCCTTAGCTGAAAGGGACATCGTCCGCAGCCGTTCTGCAGTCTCTAGGGCCTTCCCATCCAAGGGCCTTCTCTTCTGGAAACTCGAGAATAAGGGCCGGATTGAAAACCATGCTGAGCTTTTCTCGTCTTCTTGGACACTCTTTCCCCAAGAGAATTTCTGCCCAGAAAAGGAAGGCAAGTAACTTCTAAAGCACAGTATTAAAAGTCCGTGTTTGTAGGTGGCTCTTTTCTTTAAGGGAAAACCAATGAACTTGGAAGGTGAGTGTTCCTGAGGGGGCTTTGTGCTCCTGGCAAGTTGGAGACCATACGACAGACCCTCAGGGTGTCCGATCAGGGGTTGGTATAGCTGACCTTGAGAAGTTTAAAGGAAGACCTCTCACCCAAGCATAGCTCTTAGGAAGGGCAAGCTCGAGCAGCAGTGGGCAGGAATTTTCCCGGTGGGCCGGGTTCACTGGGCTTTCTGCGGGTCACCCTGTGCCCTTGCATCAGTTACCTCTGGTCGCCACCCCAAAGGAGGGTGCTTCCCAGTGCTTCCCTGCTCCCTCTCCCTCAGCTGCTGTTCTGGTTTTTTGTTTTTGTTTTTTAATCATTTTATTGGGGGCTCTTATAGCTCTGATCACACAGTCCATACATGCCCCCATAGTGTCAAGCACATTTGTACATATGTTGCCATCATCATTTTCAAAACACATTTTCTTTCTACTTGAGCTCTTGGTATCACCTCATTTTCCCCTCACCCTCCCTCATGAACCCTTGATAATGTATATTTTTTTTTTCATGTCTTACACCTACTGCTGTCTCCCTTCACCCAATTTTCTGTTGTTCATCCCCCTGGGGATAGGGTTATATATCGTTCATTGTGATTGGTTCCCCCTTTCTACCCCCCTTTCCCTGACACGCCTGGTATCTCTACTCTCCCTGTTGGTCCTGAGGGATTTACCTGTCCTGGATTCCCTGTGTTGTGAGCTCTTATCTGTACTCGTGTTCATGCTCTGGTCTACCCGGAGTTGTAAGGTATAATTGGGGTCATGATAGTGGGGGGATTAAAGAACTAGAGGAAAGTTGTGTTTCATCAGTGCTATACTGCACCCTGACTAGCTCGTCTCTTCCTTGTGACCATTCCATAAGGGGGTGTCCAAGTGTCTACAGATGGACTTTGGGTCTCCACTCTGCCCTCGCCCTCATTCACATTGATATGATTTTTTGTTGTGGATCTTTGGTGCCTGTCAACACCTCATGATCACACAGGCTGGTGTGCTTCTTTCATGTGGGCTTTGTTGCTTCTCAGCTAGATGGCTGCTTGTTTATCTTCAAGCCTTTAAGACCCCAGGCACTGTATCTTTTAATAGCCAGGTACCATCTGCTTTCTTCAGTATATTTGCTTATGCACCCATTTTGTCTTCAGCAATCGTGTCGGGAAGGTGAGCATCACAGAATGGCAGGTTATTAGAACAAAGTGTTCTTGCATTGAGGAAGTACTTGGGTAGAGGCCCAATGTCCGTCTGCTACCTTAACATTTAATATATATGTACATAGATCTACTTCCCTATCATTATATGTATTTACATATGACCATTCCTGTATTTATACCTCTATAGATGTCCTTTGCCTCCTAGCTCTTTCCTCTATTTCCTTTTACTTTCCTCTTGTCCCACTATCATGTTCAGCCTTCATTACGGTTTCAGTAATTCCTCTTGGTTACATTGCCCTTTATCAAGCCCCACCAGCATCCTGTACCCCTCCTCACCATCGGTTGTAGATCACTTGTATTTCCATTGTCCTTGGGTTTGTTGGCTCTCTCCTTCCCTTCCCTTGCCTACCCTTCTCCTGTGTCCCTTTGGAACCAAACCATCTGTTGTTTTCTCCTCGGGATTGTTTATCGTGCCTATCTTATCTCGATAGACATGCAAAAACAATAACAAACACAAAAACAAAACAACAACAAAAAAGGAAAGCCTATAAATAGTTCCAGGTCTGTCTGTTGACCTTTATGAGTGTTGCCACGCCCTGCCCCCCCCCCAAGTCTATTTTTGTTATTCCTTGGGACTTCGTTGCTTTGCTCCCCTTGCTGCTCCGTTGCATGCCCCAGGGTGGGGGGTCAAATCCGGCACAATTCCCGCACTGTGTCTCCAGCTGTTGTTTTAAACTGCGGGATGAGTCAGGGTTGACTCAGCATGCCATCTGACCTTACTGAGACCTGCCTGTTCAGCAGGTAGCATGGCAGGGTGACATTCCTGGTTAGCAATGCCCTGTGAGAGAGGGAGGACACGCAGGGTTCAAGAACGACGACAGTCAGGAAGGCAGGGGCCTGCCCGGAGCTTTGTGCGTAGATGCTGACAAGCATCCAGAGCAGTCTGCCGTGTGAGGTCATTGGCTGGACTCTCCTGAGACAATACCAAAATTTTGGAGAAGGGTAAGAAAGGTGACCTCACTGGTGAACATTTAAGAAGCAGCCTTCCCTGGTTGGTGCAATAGACTGACACACTCGTCAGCGAACTGAACTGTCAGAGGGTCAAGTTCAACCAAAGGCTCCATGAAGAAAGGCGGGCAACCGAGCTTGGAAAACCCAGTCTTGAAATCCCTGTGGAAGACAGTTCCATTGTGACAAACCCGGGGTCGACACGGGTCCATGGGCCTCAACCGCCGCTAGAACGTTGTGAAGGGCAGCCAGCTTTGTTCAATCGCTCAAAACCGTCATTACATTCGATGGGAAGAGGGAACCTTGAGTTTGTTGCTCAGTATTAAAAGGTAATTTGTTCTTACCACTTGGTGTAGCGGGTTACACAGGTCAACAGTTCGAAACCACCAGCCTCTTTCTGGGAGACAATGGAGGGTTTCCAGGCTCGTGTGCAGAGTGACGGCCCCAGAAACCTCCAGGGGCCCTTCTGTCCTGCCCTCCCGAGTCTGCAGCGAGTCAGTGGCAGTGGGTTTGCATTGAGGCCATTGGGTTTAGCTCTCGTTTTTCTAATTTATGTTTGGCAAAAACAAAGAAAGAAAGGGAGACAGGAAGAGGCAGAAAGAAAAAAAGAAGGAGGGGGTGGCAGAAGGGAAAAGGAGAATGAGTGTCTTTAGAGCCTTGAGGGATAAGTGTCGGAGCGGAGCTGGCCGCCGGGCCAGGGGAGGGCTGCACACATCACGTCCTCTGCCGCAGTCCTGTTTCCCTTGGGTTGCTTGGTTGGTTTTGTTTTTCTGCCCAGAAAAAAGAAACAGAACTCGTTCAAAGGGGCCGTGATCTACCACATGGTTTGTTTCCAGGTTCAGGAAATGATTCTTGTTCTGTTTGACCCCATTGTTGCAGCCACTGTGTGGATCTATCTCATCGAGGGGTGTGTTCGT